AATGAACGAAATGACATGTTAGAGTTAAAACGAACTACAAACTTCAATTCATTCTATAAGAGGGTGAACTGATGGGTTAGACCATCCTACTAATTTTTTTTGTCATATGAATTTTTTTTAAAATACACCTTTAATTATATAAATTTTTTTGAAATTTTTATTTATTAATTAATATTTTTATTAGATAAATTAAAAAACTACTATATTTATGTGTAAAATAATTAATTATAATTAATAATTTAAATTTAATTGATTAATATTTATAATTTAAATTATAATATTATAATATATTTGTATATATTTAATAAGATAATAAAAAATAATATTTTTAATTATAATTATTTTTTTTATTTTGAGATATAATTTTTTAAAAACTGACGAATGAACCAACCCGCTCCATTTTTAAATAGGACTAAATGAGTTTGCATACTAAAATTATTAATCTGTCCACCATTTTTAAATTTAAATTATGTTACACTGGTTATCCAAATTAGTGGAGATTAAATTTAATTCAATCAGATATAAAAAAATTTAGAAATAAATGCATCTAGTTTGTCTTATTATTGATTTGTGGATAAACCCACATAGACGAGGACATATATATTAAATAAGTATTTTTTTGTCATTAATTATTTATATTATTATTATTATTTCATTATTTGTAAAAGAAACCTTCTCATTTTATCGATATCATTAGGTTATTTAACGAAAGTATAATATAATATTAATATAATTATGTTTTTTGATATAATATTGATGTGATGTAATATTAAAATGATTTTGACGTGTATAATACATTGATATTAATATGATATATGATTGATTAGATGTGAGTGACAATGTTAAATAAGAAAAATCATGTCAACACGACCCTATATATTATTCCATTAGATAACTTATAACATAGTTGAAAAAAACAATATTAATTGAACAAGACCAAATTAATATTTAAAATAGTAGTTTAATAAATTAAAAAAATTGGTAAATAAACTTGTTAAGCTAGAAAAATAAATAAAATAAATAAAATTTATATTAGAGAAGATGAATGCAACAAATTCATGCTATATTAGTATATATAACTAAACACAATTGTCCCCTTTATATTATATCTCAAATCTAAATGAACCAATAAATTCAAAAGAATGGTCATTCCTAAAATATATATATATATATATATATATATATATATATATATATATATATATATATATATATATATATTATGTATATCACACATTATATATGTTGATATAATGTGACATTTCAGACGTTGACAAAGACGGGGAGTGATCGTCGGTGCAGTGAGACACGAATAAAGAGCGGTTCCTGACGGGTTTCTAGTAGAAGGGTCATATGAATAAACTGAAACACACCCGAAGCAGAGAGAACTTCATAATTAAGCGTGTTGGGTTGTGGGGATAATCAACAATTTTGTACAAGTGACTGTGACGTTAGATTAATGATAATTATAAACTAAGTGAAAAAAATTATAGATTATTTTATACTTGTAAATATTTTTCTATTTAAAATAAGGTTATTTTAAATTATTCTTTCAAACATAAGCTCAAATAAAAAATCATCTTAAAGTTTAATCTAAATAAAACTATATCATAAAATATTTATATAAATAAAACTAATCTTTCTAAAAAAAAGTTTAAATAAGTTACACTACAAAATATGTGTTTAAATAAAATCAATATATTTAAGAAAACTTTAACTTCATGTTGATTTTTTTCATCAATAACTACATTTTAATCCCTTGATTTAAAGATATTTATTTTTTTATACATAACGATTTTTTTATATTACAAATATCAACATGTCAGCACCACGATGTGCTAATAATAATGTTGATGAAAAAGCATCATTTTAAAAAAGAAATAAAACCAAGATTAATAGTTTAAATAATAATAATAATAATAATAATAATAAGATTAAATTAAAAAATAAAGAAACGAAATAAATTATTATATTGACCATGTTCAATAATATTTTTCCAATTTATTATTATTACTTAAAAAAAGAAGAAGAAGAGATATATAAATTGATATTATATTGACCTTATTCTCAATACTATTATTATGAATGCTCTTCCTATTGCTATAGAATGGTCCATGCAACGGAAAATGATTGAACCAAGAATGGTAGCTACCTACTTACACCCTTCATAACGTTGCAATCTTTAGTTATGAACATGAAAATGAAGAATGATGAGAAAGCAATATGCAAATGGAATCAAGTTAAATGGGAATGTGAAGACAAAATAAACATGCCATTCATATAATAATGAAACTACATTATTGAACTTCGTAGACCCATTCACTCACAAAAAAGTTTCATAAAAGATAAGAAGAAGAGAACAAACATTGACAAAACACGTTTTATTTTGAAACACAAATTTATTATTAAATATAGTTACACCGAATTGAATTTCATCAAAGTCGCTTTGGCCGAGTGGTTAAGGCGTGTGCCTGCTAAGTACATGGGGTTTCCCCGCGAGAGTTCGAATCTCTCAGGCGACGTTTATTATTTTATTTTTATTATTTTTTTCCTATTTTTAATATTATTATTCTTTAATAATACCTTTTGATCTTTGTATAGTGTGTCTTTTAACGGGTTTCAAATGATAATGATGTTTCAAAATTCTTGAACACAATAATAGCCCACTAATTAAGGGCCCATTCATAAGCAACGTGGTCTTTTCTGAGTAATACATTAATCAATCCATAGGTTTTTTTCCACATATCATATCACTATAGTTACATAATTTTCATAATTTCACACACACGTAGAATCTCTCTATTTTCATCCCCTACTTAATAATACACATGATGTAACATATTCAGTAAAAATTATGTAAACATTTTTTTTTTCATATTGGGAAGTGTTTGTTTGTATACAAAAGCATTCTACATAGTGGCATATTGTCAAACTTTTTTTGCAATCATTTTATGCATTGTCACTCACTTAAATATGGTCACTAAGGGTCTAATTGACTTTTAATAACATTTTCATTCCTATTTTTACATGAAACAAATTGAACAAAACAACAATGCTATTTTATATTGCTCTTACACTAACAATGTTATAAGAATATTGACAAAGAAAACCCTTTTTTATATTGAAAACTTCAACATTAAATACTTTGTTATATACTATTTTGGCATAATATATTGAATACTACTTTTTTTCCATCTTTCATCCTTTAGTTTAGATAAAGTTGACTTCAAATTCAGATAGGAAAAAAGTTCATAATTGCGATTTTTTTTCCTGTGCTAATATACTAAAGTTGCTTGAAAACAATGTCACGTTACCAAACCTTAATATCTAGTACTTAAATGAAAAAAAGGTAATGATTAATGCTACATTACACATGGAGACTATGCTCTCATCTTTCACAAACAGCCATTGAATGTGTCTGAGTAGTCACATCCACACTAACGTTAGTCTAATGCAATAATTACACTAAAAAAAAGTCACTTAATTTATAGAGTAATAATGCTACATATATTACGATTTTTTCTCATAAAAAAAATACTAACTGAAAAAAATTTAGGTAATTCTAAACATGTAATATAGTGTAATTTTCTCTATACACAATTTGTTGTTGAGACGAAGTTGTATAACTTAAAAGTAAGTGTTGTTTCATTTGGTCATCTTCTAGGTTAAAAGAAATGTAGGAGCAGTGAGGTTTATTTATTTACCGTACCAGGCTTTGTTCGTTACGATGATTGATTTTGATTGTGGTATTGTAGGTTAAAATAACTGTGAAACACACGTGATAATTATGGCATGGAGCGTTCATATTCCAATAGGAAATGATGTCGTAAGGCACTCTCCTTCATCTTCTCGTCGATAAGCCACCTTGTCATTTCAAATTAAGTTGCTTTGAATTCACTTCATCACACTGTTCCATAGGCAGTACCTAAATTCTCCTTCCACTGATTATATATTTCCCATTCAAAAGTTGAAAACCAAAGCTGGAGTTATTATTACTATTTGAATTGATCGACAGCTTATTAGATCAAACAAACTTTCGTATATATAATGATATGATGAAAACCCACAAACTAATTAAAAACTAGTCCCAGTAAGTACCCATTTGCCATTATTCATTCATCACCATATATTTTATGAACAAAATCTGATGGCAGCTTGCAAAATTTCAAGAGCAGAATCATTCACCAGTGTGATCATCATGGCATTCAAATTGCAGAAATTAAGGGGTTGCAATTGGAGGAGATTATGTTCAATCGAAAAGTACTGAAATACGTAGTTAACTATCACTGTATATGCATATTAGTGTTGTTTTGTACACCAACAACGATAATTTTTGATACTCAGAATTTAGTTAGACTAAAAAGTTCATCAGTTGCTTTTCCTATTTCATACTAATTCCTTTAGTACAAATGATGTATGGATATCTTCATTTAATACTTAGAGAAATGATGTAATAAAAAAAAATAATGGACGCATCATGAGAACTATTAGCACCAATAAGCAGCTATCAGTAAACAATATATTTAGAAGTATTATTATCCACCCAATAGTTGAACAGAAAAACAATGTTTTTGACAATCTATTCACATCTAATTCACAGGTATAACAGATTATTGTAAATAACTACACTGGCTCCCGGGATACAAAGTGACCTCATCAATGTCATCAAGATGACAAGTAGCATCACTAATTTAATTACACATGATCACCAATCCTGCAGATATACATGATTGACTTTTATTTTCGACCTAAGTACCTTGTTAATCAGTGAATTTGCTCCCCCAGTATAACGGCAAAAGTACAAATTACAAGGTTTTTTAGGAGATCACCAACTGTATAATATGCATGGATATATATATATATATATATATATATATATATATATATATATATATATATATATATATATATATATATATGGAGGTGCTGATTCCAAATAATGACTAGCTAGCAGCCAATGGGATCCATAGAAGACTTTGGGAAAGGGAAAGAGAGAGCACTCATTGGATGTTTGAAAAATCAAGAAAGGGAAAGGATGAAACATCTTTCATCAACTCTTCCAAGTCCCACTCTCCCATGGTTAACTCTTCTTGAAATAGATTTTCCAACCCAGACCTATTTTCAGTTCTCTTGTTGATGCAGTTATTAAGGATGATACTGTTTATGTCATCAAAGTAACTATTGTTAGTATCTGTGTTGCATGTGCTTTCCACTTTGAGGTTATGGTCAGAGGTAGTGCTAACACTCTCTAGAGGAGGAACATACATATCCCCTTCTGCCCCAATATTTACACTCCCAAATACTCCTCCACTTTCCAAATAAAATCCTTTGTTGTCAACTCCACTTTGAGAAGAGAAGCATGGCCCTGGACCATTGAAGTATCCACCAGAAGCTGGCATGTTTAGTCCATGATCTAGCAAAGGCAACCTGTCAATTATGGAATTGAGAACGGTGGCATGCATGGATGGTGATGGAGATGATGAATTGAACATAGGCATAAAATCAGCATGTTGGTCTTGATGGGTATTAGAAGTAGTAAACCCTGCCATGTTAAGGTCTTTGTTAGGCTCATATGAGGACTCGCTTCCATTTGGTGAGGTGTTGGATGACAAGTTCTTGAGTCTTTTCTTTATTGTTGAATTCCAAAAATTCTTAATTTCATTGTCAGTTCTCCCAGGTAAGCGCGCCGCTATTTGAGACCATCTTTAAAAGTGGAACACAAATGAACATTTGTCAGCTTAGTACATTGCACAAACTAATTGAGTTTGGTGGGTGTCAAATTAAAACATTGCATGCTTCATGGAGGCTAATTAATGTCTAGTTTTTTTTAAGTGATTCAAATAATGGAGTGCCTTCAACTCGAAGTCCAAATACAGACGAATCGCAATGCTTATATATTGTTTTCAGTTGTCCTTTTGTCCTCCACAAGGAGCCGCCTAGACTTTACAAACATATGTGCATTATATTTAATGCATGTTGTGCATGTATTTTTAACATTGATTATTTGTGCCATAACTTAGAGATGGGGAAATGGATTTTGACAACCAAAGACTTAACAAAACCAATTTTGAAATCTTGTCGGTCTTATTGTAAATGCCAAGTATCTTAAATAGTTAGTTGGGTATGCGGGTGTGAACTTTCTTGCTTACTTTTAGATACATACAGCTATACAAGCATTTTTTTTTTATAGGAAAATTATGGCACATGGTATTGGATAATTCCTCACAAATTATACCCCACTACACCCAGTGGCTGTAAAGCAAGTATATAGTTTTGAAATGGTATTAATTGGTGTAAAGACTCGTTTTTTTCTTCTTTTCAAACATATCATGCATCTATCTTCCTTCCACCTTTCCAATAAAGACAACTGCTAAAGTTAGAAAGAGGTGTAGTGGGTGTAAACAAGTCAGATACACAACTTTGATTTGCTCGATAAATATTTGAGATATATACGTATATATACACGCTGGTATAATTATGTTTGGGTTTAGAAATACATGATACATGTGCAACAGTTATTGAATATCACATATCAAGTTTAAAATGCATTACCACATATGTGAATTAGTTAACAGTATACTTGGTAATGTTAATGATATGTACTTTGATCATTCCAAACTAAAACATGGTGAAATGGATGAGTTTTTGAGAGAGAACATGCATAGAAAAGAAGGGTAGGTGAACCTGTTTCCGAGAAGGGAATGCAAATGGACGATGAGTTCCTCTTCTTGAGGAGAGAATGCACCTCGTTTGAGATCAGGCCTCAAGTAATTGATCCATCGAAGGCGACAACTTTTGCCACACCTTTGAAGGCCAGCATTTCTGGCCACATCGCTCCAACAACCTTGTCCACTGTTTAGCATGTAGTTCATGAGCTTGTCATCTTCTTCAGGTGACCACAACCCTTTTCTAAGCTTGCTATTAATGTTGGAGTTGTTTTTTCCAGACACCTCGGGCTTCCTCATTGTACACTACTATGATCCTGACCCCAGCAGCAGTGTTCCACTGATGACCAATTTCCTCTCCAACGGGTGTGATGTAAGATAAGAGAAGGATTTATAGAGAGAGAAAGATAACAAAGAAGCTTCATAGGGTGGGAATGATGATGATAATGATGGTGATGGTTGTGGGGTTTGCTTACAAAATAGGGAAGAGTCAGAGAGAGAGAGAGAGAGAGAGAGAGAGAGAGAGAGAGAGAGAGAGAGAGAGGGAGAATTAGTTGATGAGTCTAGTAGAAAACGGTTTGGAGAGGGACACGAGAGATTGAGAAAGATGGGTGTCTTCTTGTCTTTGACTCCATGGCCTTGTCTTTTTTCTTTTCTAATTTTTTCTTCACTCACAAGGTATTCATCATACATGAACCATAGGATGCCACACACACATACGCACCAAAAAATAAATATGAATAAATAAAAATGTAGATACAAGCAAGTTTGTTTTGTAACCAAGCCAAGATATTTGCTTCCACTTCACATAATCTCTTCCTCTCTACCCCCACACGTGTTGTTGAAGATATTATAAAAGAAATGTTTATATATGACGGCACATCCTGGGAAATAATCTATGTAAGTTATATTTTTAATTATTTTTTGTGCATAAGATCCACATGCCTAAGTTTCATTATTACACAAAAAGAAGTAAAACAGACTCAATATATGTACGAACATATATATGTTATATACGCTTTTGAACATTCGTGAAAAGCGACGAAGCAAGAAATTTTAAGTCTCTTCCCTTCTCTCTCTTCACCTATTTTTCCGAGAAAAATTATATATGAAAACGAAAAAAATGTCAAATGACATCTAACAAGAAAAAAACAAATCAAAGTATAGTTTTCTTAAATCATGAATTCATGTAAAAGACTCTGGATACTACCATCAGCATGAATTCATGATCATCAGCTGATGAGGGAAGATTTCGTCACTGCCGTTTGATGATCTGATAGAAGTGATTTCAAGCCATTACTGTGTAGCTGTTACTTTCACCAACCAAATAGAATTAAAGGTTCGTTAATAATACATTTAATTATGTTGCTTATAAACTTCCTAGCAAGGGACCCAATGACTTAGTTGGCAGCTTAATGAAAAAAAAAAGAGTTTCATTCTCGCATAATGCACTCTTGAAAAAAAAAAAAACTTTAAAGTGTAACTAAACAGATTGAAACTTGTAAAAATACTTCAAATTCATCACAGACTCAAACATTCTGATTATAACAGTTACTGGAAAAAAAAAAATCCTAGATATAGAATGAATCCAAGTGCAAGGTATAGGTTACATGGCAGCAGATTGCCAGAAAATGGTTAAGTAAAACAGATTCTGCCAATTGATGTGTGCAACTATTTTGTAGTGAAATGCTGACTTTCATTAATAGTAAACAAAAAGATTGATTAATAAATTGTGATTGAAGGAAGTGTTCACTTTAGCCTTCTTTGATTTTGTCATGCATATTCTTCTCCACATAAAGGTGAATCATGCTAGAAAAAGAAGAAAGAAATGGTGCAACAGATAATTGACTTTTGGACCATCTTTTTAAAGCAGCAAGGACAATATTCATACGTATGGACAATAGCAATTTCCTTATATAATAAACTAATTAACATCACAACCTTCAAAACAAGTTGACATGGAGACCTCAAATTTTCCTTGTTTTGATATGGAGTTTAAAATTCTGCTGACGTACCAGTGATATATAATATCTTAGCGATGAGGTTTAATTAATTAAACCATTTCTTTATTTTCTAGCAAAACTCTCTGAGAGAACTTGTGGTAGTTAAAGTGGTGGTGGATGTAGGAGCCTAAACACTTCCCAAAAGCTCATTGGATGATTGGAAGAACCATAAGAAGATAAAGACCCTCCATTACTAGCTGCGTAACTGGTGTGTGTGAGCACTAAGTTAATTGTAATGTATCAGAACAAAACACCCAAAATCTTTTCAATATAAGGGATAAAGTAGAGACCCACTTCTGCACGAGGAAAGGATCCAATTGGAGTAGGGATCATGGCTACCCTTTCTATAGTCTCTCTCTGTACACACATATTATGATTGTTCTTTTTCATTGCAAGTTTTTGTTTGTAACCACCCTATACAAGTTCTACAAACTCAAAAGGCTTGAAGGATTGTCAAAAAGTGGCAAGGTAGTACAAGTAAAAGTTAAAAGATGCAATCAGTTTAATAAATTGGCATCCCTCAGAGGGACCAAGTGGGTGGATCATATATTTCCGTCACAAAATCATGTGCTTATGAAACTATGAAAGTGGCTAGAGATTCGCTCGGGTTTGAGAAATATGGCAACGGATATTTGCTTTGGTGCAGGTAGAAAAAAAAAAAAAACATCAACTAGTCCACCTCACAATTCCAATTTATGTCTCGTTAACAACACATCATATTGCTTTGACTTCAAATAATATAATGATTAATCGCAGTTTAGCAAAATAGTGCAGGGTCTAGAGAATATGCATAAGGGTTCGTGAGTTGTGTCCACAAACCGCAAAAAGCCCTGAAACAAAATCACATCATAAGAAATGAAATGACGCATTTTTTTCAAGTTGCTTCGAAATGCATCCTTAATGAATAAAAATAAAGTGTAGAAAAGTATAATTAATGAAAGTAGATAACGAGCAGGTAAAGAAGCAACCCAAAAACATGAACGTAATGTCTTAATCCGTGTTTGAATATGCTTCACATACTTACGTACATATATGGGATAGATGGGTAAAATTAGTGATAGAAGTTGAGAAATGAGAAGGGTTTAGCTTTTCCATGCTTTCTGGGTACTGCATGTTTTAGCCAAAGTTTTGCACTGTTCATGTTGATTACCTCATAAATAAGCAAGCATGACTTTAGTTAGATGGGAGAGGGGGGGTCCTACCAACAACAAACATGCCATTAAAAACCTAGCAATAAATTAAGAAAGTGCAACCACCATAGTAACGGACTATAGCAATCTCCTAAGACAGTGGACATATGATACGGGGAATGTTTTCTTAGGATACATGATTCTGATAACACACAGCTACAAACAAGACGTGGTAAAAGATGATGGTAGGCGTCAATTATGAATGAATATGAAATTCAGTGCTGCTTTTAGATGCCAATGGACGGAGCAAAACTAATCCTCCTGCATAAGCAATTACGTTGTAGTAGTTTCTACTCATTATTATTTTTTAATTAAATTTTAGGAGAAATTGAACTCGATATAATTCTTCAAGGTATATTCCCATCTTATATATAATTTTTTCTAAATGATTATATTATTGTAAAAATAATATGAAGAAGAATATTTTAACGTCATATTACTTTAAAACTCTAAATGTATCAATGGATTAAGAAAATGTTTACCCTTAATCTTGATTTTAAGTGTCTTGATTTTAATTGATCTCGAACTGAAGTATATATTGGAATATAATTCCGTCTATAATTCGATTGTCTACACATTATTGTCAACATTCATTGATTTAATAATAATAATAATAATAATAATAATTTTTTGGGTTATCGATTTTTTTTTTTAATATTGAGTCCTTTTATGAGATGTTCAAATTATTTAATAAGTCTGGCTTATGCTCATTTTTGTTTAATAATAAAGAGTGTTAAAGAATTTTTAAATAATAGTAGCAATTATAATAAAATACAAATAAAATATTCTAAAGCCATTTATTAAAGGAATAATAAATAAGTCGTAACACATTTAATGGGATCAAAATCACCTAAAATACATAATATAATCGTATTAAATGCAGATTTTTTTAAGCAATACTTTTTTAGTGATAAAAAAATGATCAACTGTGTTTTATATTTATTCTTTAGAACCTTGTTAACATTAGTCAAATTCCTGAATAATTTCCTCTATCTCACTATGACTCGTTTGAATATTTTTCTCATCGATGATAAGTATTTTAAGATCACCTTACAAAATTATAAGAAATTAACAAGTCAAAATATTTAAAGCATAATAATCATAAATCAATTTTATGAAAATAGAAATAATTTAAAATTATTATTGTAGTATTAAAAAAAAGTTTTTAAACAGATGTGTGAAAAAAAAAATTGTCATTCAATCTTTTCCGTTCTCGTACTACTCGCAAAGTCAATTTAACATTTTCATTTCACACTTCTTAGGACTTGTTTATTATTTCTAAAAATATAAGTTTCAGTTTTTCATTGAAAAAAAAATAGTTTTTATTTTTTTAAATCTAAAAAAGAAAATAAAATATATATTTTTTTATTTTCGTTTTGACAAATAATATTCTCATTTTAAATAATAGTATATATTTAGTTCATTTGACTCTTATGAATTAAAATCATCTTTAATATTGAGGAGTGACTTATTGACACTTGCTATTCATTTATACATTCAATCTACACTTTTTTGTTTTATTATTATTATTATTATTATTATTATTATTATTATTATTATTATTATTATTATTATTATTATTATTATTATTATTATTATTATAAATATATAAATTTAAATTTTTTTATAGATTGTAGATGAATATTAATTAAGTGAGAGTGACAACTTATCATCTCTCGCCAAATAAACATTCATCCTCCAACCAAATTTTAATAATATAATATTAATAAAACCTTTTAAATTTATATATTTATTATTATTATTATTATTATTATTAGTATATTATTATTATAGAAAATTGTAGATTGAATATGTAAATGAATTGTGATGTCAATCCTCTTAACATTTTCATATTCACATTTTTTTATTTAAAACGATTTTAAAATTAAAATTATCATTTTTTTCTTTAGGTGTTTTCAAAAATAATTTTTTAAAACCGATTACTAAAACTATTTATTTTTAAAATCGAATTAGAGAAGCCCTTGTCATTCATATTTGTTAACTTATAATTTTTTAATTGCGTCACTATTTAAATCAAAATTTAATATAAATTGAATTAATTAAATTTGTGTTGCTAAGAAAATTACAACTTATTCATTTAGTCACTTTTAATTTTTTTAAATAAGTTATATTAAAAGTAATATGTTACAGAATGATTCCTTTTTTTCTTTTATTTTTTCATTTTCTCTATCAACTCCTCTGATATTTTGTTTGGTGAAAAAAAAAAATAATAAAGAAATGTGTAAAAATTAGAAGTGATCTAATTAAAGACAAATAAAGCGAAAATTTTATTGTTATTTTTATTTATTTATTATGACAAAAAAAATCTCTTTTGATTAGGAGGGTTTTAATAGTACTAGTAATATATAATTGATTATATAGATAATAAAAAAATAACCCTGGATTTGTTTTTTTTATCCCACAAATATCATAAAAAACTTTCGATATTTTATCATATTTTAACAAATCTGAAAGATAAATTTATAATTTGTGGAGTAAACAAAAAATATGGTCAAAGAAAATATTTTACTTAAAATGATCAACTAAATTCTTCAACAGAGAACAAAGATTAATAATTAACAAAAACCATGAATACTCTATCACCAATAACATAATTATTTATATATAAAAAAAAACATAACTAACTACATAGAAAACAGATTAAAACGACAAAAATATTACTCAGCCAATTAAAAATTTGACACTACAGTAAAACTTTGTTAAGCCACCAAATTTATATTTTCAAAATCTATCAAACAAACTTTCAACCAATGCTTTTGAAATACTTAATTAATATAAGAGTTCAATGCTTAAATATTCAACCGTTTTATATTTTCTAAATATAATATTTTTAAAATACTCTAAAGATAAAAGTTCAATGTTTAAATATTTAATCGGATTTAACTAGTTTTAAACCTTCAATCAATATTTTTGAAATCAGATTCGATCCGATGAAAATATGAATTTAAGTTTAAATATTCAACTGTTATATAATTAAATCTAAACGTTTTTAATAAATTTACATTTTATATAATATAATAAATTAATTAATAAGAACAATTTTTTTATAAAAATAATAAAAATAATAAATATTATTATCATAATCATCAAATTAGATTATAAATATAATAAAAAATATAAAATAAATAATTATTAAAATAAGATGAATATACAATAAAATAATTGTTATTTAAAATTAACATAATTAATATAAAATAAAAAATACTAAAATATATTATATCTTTTATAAAACAAATTTATTAAAAAAAATTGATTTTTAAATTTTTTCTTTTTTTACCAAAACCCAAAATTTCGACCCATTGTTTCGGCTTTTACTAATTGTGTATCAATTTTCTGATTTTATCCTAATTTAACTAAAATAGGATTACGAATTTCTAAACCGGTTGAACCGTAGGTCTAGTTTTTCAAACAATGCTTTTAATAAAATATTAATGTCATTTGTTATAACACTAGTTATGGCTGTGGCTACTTTAGGGTAAAATAAAACAACACAGACATTAGTTATGCGTGTTTTTTTGTACTTAATTGAACCAAACTACTTCAATAAATTATTTGAACCACTCTAACGAAACAATTCTGAATCGAATAAGCTTAAATTACAAGTTCAGAACAGACATGTAACAATAATAAAATTATAATGGCTAAGTAGATATGTAAAATTTCGCAACTATAATTTAATCTATCACTTATCACATACAAGTTCCTTTCCCGGTTATATTGTTCTCACTTCTCTCCGTTAAGTGTGTTAGTTTCCAACAAGGATTAGTGAATTAGTGAATACAGTATTAATCTTGATGTTTTGAAAATGTTAACTATATTAGTTTCCAACAATAAGGATTAGTGAATACAATATTTAATTTTGATATAGAATATATATTATCCCAGAAAGGAGTATCAAAGCAATTTTTTTTTCTAGTTCCAATCTTGTGCGAGCCTAGAACAGAATCACCCACATTTAGGATGAAAGAGCCATCAAAAACTTCCAATAGCAGCACTCGAGGTTGAAGCATGTGAAATATCCATTGTTTTCAAGTGTGTAAATAAATATGAAACACAACTCTGTTGCGACTCATACAATTCAAACAGCACCTCATTCATACATGTCTCCAAAATGAACTAAATAAATAAGTACCACAATTCAAAGGGCACCTCATTCATAGATGTCTCCAAAACTGAACTAAATAAATGAGCACCCACGAAGGAAGCTATAATGTTGCAACTTCTAGAATGACAAGTTTAAACTAACGATAAAATGAAGCGAAACTGTGTAAGTAAACTTAACTTGTTGCCATTGCGGCACGTTAAACTCCAACAAAAACGGCTAATAATGCAAAATAACAAAACTTTCGGCAGCCAGGAAAAAAGCCAACAAATGTCTCTAAACTGCAGGAAACGAGCCTCCCCTGCAGAGAAAAAAATTTTTAGCGAGTTGTGAATATTGGTATCAATCTTCTAAAACCACACATGTATATCAAATGAGGTAAATGTCAAATGTCTAACAAGAAAAATCAACTGCTAATCAATTCCTATGAATCAATAAAAAAAATGAAAACTCCTCAGTGACGAAAATCAGCATTCAAATGGCTTCAAACATGACATAAGGCAAGATGCATGAGCAAAACACATACCTATCCTAGCGTCTATCAGTTTTTCCAGATGAGCGCTTCCCAGAATATAAGTGCTTGGGCTTCAATGTAGGTATGACTCTATCAGCTTCTCCACGACGTGCATCCTTGTTTCTCTTCTTGACAGATTTCTTGGCAAGTTTAATTGCCTTGACCTTTTGAGCAGAATCCTTAAAGCCTTCACCAGGTACAACTTCATGTGGCGGGCGTGACACTGACCTAGATCGCGACAGTGATCTACTCAGACGCTGTTTTTTGCTTGGTGTGTCACCGTCAATATCCATACCATCTCTGCCATCTGCACTTCTTGATTCAGGTGATCTTTCCCTTTTCCGGCCTCTTGTAGAGGCAGATCTGCTGCGCATTCTCTTAATTGCCAAAGTGGGATCAAGTCCCAAAGAGGACAGCTGCCTTCCCATTCTCTCTGAAGTGTACTGTTTATCCTTGTCAAACTTCCTAGGAACAGTTGGCCGATTCTCTGCGTTGCCCTTTTTAATCCTGTGCTGCTGGATCAACAAGCTTTTCTTTTTCCTAATCTCAGCTAAAGCTTCTTGCTGTTCAGGTGTCAACTCAGTTCCATCAATCTCAAAATCATCATCCTCAGCTTCAGCCTCTCTCATCCCTTCTTCTCTTTCCAACTCTTCAACCCTATGCAAAATATCAGGATCGATGAAATCATACACATTATGTCCATCCAAGATTTCAGGCAGTACATCATTTTTCCATTCATCATTGGCTAAAATGTAATGTTTTCTCAAATTCATTGAATATACACCAGCCCCACCATTCTCCTCCTCCAGATCCTTTTCAGTTTTTCTCTTTTCCTTCTCAGCTGCTTCCTTAGCTTTGGCTTCTAAAACTGCTGCAGGAATACATGGTGGTCTATCCTTCTGGTCACGAGGCTTTGGTACAGCAACATGAAACCTATTCAAGCAGTCATTCATTTTCTTTGATTTCATCTTTATTTCTACCCTCTGATTCAATAACCTATCACATGCTGCATTTTTTACAGCAATTACCCCTTCTTCTGTCAAAGTGCTCATGGTCAACAATACACTGTCATCGTTTGTTGCCTCACCTCCCTGAGCAATTATAGTCTTCAAGGCTTCAGATTTCATCTCCATGACCAACTTCATATCTTCCTCAGATATCCCATCCAGCGGTTGCAAGTCAGTCTTGTTGCAGACTATAATCAATGGCTTGTTCATAAACAAGGACTTAATGCTGTGAAACAAAGCCGCCTGCTGAGCAATACTGTAACCACAAGACCCAGAAATGTCCAAGAAAAACAATATAGCAGCTCTCAAATGTGCTAGAGCAGTGATACTGCACATCTCAATAATATTACGATCTTCAAAAGGCCGATCCAAAATCCCTGGTGTATCAATCACTTGGTACCTCAGGTATTTATAATCTGTATGACCTACAAAGAGAGACTTTGTAGTGAAAGCATAGGGCTGCACATCCACATCAGCTCTTGTAATTTTGTTAATGAATGAGCTCTTGCCAACATTAGGATATCCACAGATCAAGATAGTCCTAGTATTAGGATCAATTGACGGGAGCCTGGCCATGTGCTGTCTGACCTGCTCTAGATAAGCCAAACTAGGGCCAATCCTCTTAATCACAGTGCACATGCGGCCAAGAGCAGCCACCTTAAGACACTTGCATCGATACAGCGAGTCACCATACTTCAGTAATTTCACATAGTCTTTCGCAATCTTACCAATAAGATTCCTGGCAGTGTTAATTTGTCCAAGAGCAAGCTTGTAATGGTCTTTGTTGTAGAGCACATGGAGGAGATCGCCATAGAACGGATGAATATCATCAAGCCGGGGGAACTCATCGATGATGGTAGAGAGCTTATCATGAAAATTCTGCTGGGTATACTTCACTTTACGCATGTAGAATTGGCGAAGCCGCGAAATTGCATATCCTTTGTGCACAACAGTCGGTGTCTGACGCTGAGTACGAGAGAGGATGATGTCAACGAAATCCTTCCCATTCGGCACCACAGTAATCTTCTTAAAATTATACTGAACCATCGTCCCCTATCAACCTTCCCTCTACAGAAAATTAAAACGAAAAAAAAAGAACTCTGAATAAAAAATAAAGTTAAACAAGACACAGACAATACAAACATCAATTTTCCATTAGAAAGCAGCAGCAGTACCGCACCGACCATAACATTATACAATTTAGTTGAACACATAAACTTAAGATCCCACAGCCAACCCTGAGAACTTGATATAGCATGCGAAGAAGAGACTTACCTGAAACCAGTTCGCTGGGTTTGTGGTGTATACGTGAGCGAAGGTTTTGCTGCTATGCTATCGACCTTAAAGGCTCTGTTTTTGTTGGAGGCCGCATAGCACTGCTAGCTGCACGCCGACTCAAACATATACCTAAATTTGAACGAGGGTTTTAGTTGGGAGAAGCTGGTACTTCGTGGATTGCAACAGAAAGCCCAAGCCCAAGCCCAGTTAATATTTGCATTTGTGTCAGCCTAAACTTTTTTTTTTTTAAGTATTATATAATAATAAATCATGTTAAAATTATAAATTTTAAGAATACAATTATAAAATTCCTTATTATAACTATTTTCAAAGATTCCCGTTCAAAACCTAACTCCACGTTACTTCAAACTTTTACTCTAAAAGAACCTAAGTCCACAAATCAAAAGACAAAATCAAGATCCTAATTAACAAAAATGCTTCATTGCCAAAAAATTGACGCATGGTAGTAATTTTGAGGGTACATGCTACACTCAACCTTACTTGTAACCCATCTTAGAAAAAAAGAAAAAAGAAAGAGAGAAACTTACCATACTTAATATTCTAATTGGCATATAACTATTCTTCTTTTTGTTATGAATATTAACATGTGTTTGGATTAAAAATAATAATAACAGAATGAGAAGTTTTTATAAAGAAGTTAAAAATATATTTAAAAAAATTTGATTTTTAGAAATGAAATTTTAAATATATATTTTTTTAATTTAAAACATTTTTAACTAAATGGTACAAATTTCAAAAAAAAAAATTCTCTTTAACCACAATTCTTTTTAAATTACTTAAGTCTTAAATTTTATATATACAAAATATTTTTTTATGAAAAAAAATAGGAAGACACTTTTACCAATTTATTCTTTTTACTCGTGTTTTTTTTTATATTACTAACTATGTATTTATATATTATAATGTAAAACTGTTGTGACTTTAATTTTGAAATTAGTTATGATTAATAGGATGTTTTCAGTTATAATGCTTAGGATGTTACCATGAAAGTGCTGTAAAAGATTTTGTTGGCTTCATCCATATTTTAAATAAGTGGATAATTTTTGGTGTAATCTTGCATTTGGACCAGGATATTTTTATCCTAGTAGAAAGAAAATAATTACTTTTAAAGTAATTATAAATTAAAATAAAATATATTTTTTTAAAATTTAAGTGTTACAAATTAATTTTAAATTTTATTTTACATCTTGACATAAAATCTAATATATATATATATATATATATATATATATATATATATACTGAAATTTTAGTCTTATATTTAAATTTCTAGTTTAATTGTAACGAAAGTTCGAAATTACACAATTTATTCTTTTATAAAATGAAAAATTTGTTTTAACAAAATAATATTTTTAATTGTTCTTATAATTATAATTATTATTTATAATCTTTATTATGTTAATCTTTTATATTGTTATCGTTATTAAGTTGGTATTGTTTAATTTAAAATTTTTATTTATTAATTAATATTTTATTAAATAAATTAAAAAAATATTATTTTGTTATTAAAATACTCAATAATAATAAAAGAATTAAATTAAATTAAATTAATTAATATTTATTATTTAAATTATAATATATTTTTAATTATAAATTTGTATTTTTATTTTGATATTAAATATTTTGTTAAAATGGATAATAGAATTAACTCATCTTATTCTTGACTTACTTATGGTAGAAAGCTAGTAAAAAAAATCAAAATGAATCGAGAGGATAAAATTACTAATTTCATTTATCAATTTGAGATGTCTATTTTCACTTACCATATTTTATCATCTTTACGTATAAGGGAGTGGAGAGAAAAATGTATCTAAACATTTATTCTAAATTTTTAATTAAAATGGGATTAATGATTGGTTGAATATATATATATATATATATTAAAAAAGAAATTTATTAGGAAGAAATCCATGTAAAATTATTCGAAGTTGAAATAAATAGAAAAAGCAATATGCGAGGAAGTGTGTTTTCCTCAAACGTTTTCTTCAGATTACACGCTAAACGGATGAGGTGAGACGAGTAATTGATGTTGAAGGTGGCCGTGCGATGGAATTGGAGGCCAACAGCTTCTCTGCCTCTAACTGCCTTCACATCCCAACATTTCCACTCGCTTAACCCTAGGCCACCATGTCGCACCTTCAGGCTTTTTTGTCGACCTTCTTCTTCCGCCGTTGCGGACACCGCGCCTCCTCTGTCCACCGACTTGCACCGCTACCTTCGCTGCTCCATGCCGCAGAATTCGCCGCTGCGAGTCGCGGTTCTCGTTAGCGGAGGGGTCGATAGCAGCGTCGCTCTCCGGCTTCTCCATGCCGCCGGCCATTCCTGCACCGCTTTCTACCTCAAGATATGGTTCCAAGTACGCCTTCATTCTTCCCGCCTAAAATTGAATTAGGTATCGATGTTGTGGCTGTTGCTTTCTCACGCGTGGTTTTCTGTAGGAAGACTTCGAGAATTTTTGGTCTGAGTGTCCCTGGGAAGAGGATTTGAAGTATGCCAAAACTGTTTGTAATCAGGTTGCTTTCTTATCAACGTATTTGTTGTGTATTGTGCTGATCAGGACATTAGTAATGGAAATGCAAATGGTCTTTGTGTTTGTATTTGCAGGTTGATGTACCATTAGAAGTTGTTCATTTAACTGATGAATACTGGAACAATGTGGTATGCAGGACCGAATCAGCTACTTTTGTCCAATATTTATTCACTTTCACTTTAATAGGAAATAACATTTTCTGTTATTTATACCAGGAATTATAAGCTATCTGTTTGGATAAACCTATGAATAAGTACTTGTTGGAAAAGAAAAATGAGAAGATAAAATGAATTAAGCTTCTTCCATAACTTAAATTAGTTTATGTATCACTTAAAATAAGCTTATGGAACAGTTAGATACGAGAATTTCTACAAATTAGTTAATACGATAAGTAACTTTTATCTTGTGGAAGAAGTTGAGTTAATTTAACTAATTATTTCTTTTATAAGTGCTTATGGATAAGATTATCATGACAAGACCAAAATGTAAGTGAAAGTTGTAGGTCTCTGCTGCCTGTTTTTGACTTATTACTCCCCTGTATATTAGGTTTCTTACCTCATTGAAGAGTATAGGAGTGGCCGAACTCCTAACCCGGATGTTCTTTGCAATACAAGAATAAAGTTTGGTATGCTTTCAGTCACATGCAATAAATGCAATCTGACCTTATGTAGTTTGTTTTGTGTGGAAAATACGTTGTCTATTTCTTATTTTGAAAAAAATACAAAGGAGGTATAAATAGAATGCAAGGTAATAAACCTATACACTAATCTATCATTGAAAATCAGGGAAATATTCTCCCTATAAATGTTGTACATAACTGTGCATAAATAACGAAATAAAACTGATTATATTATCATGAAATCCTATCATAATTGAATTATTCTAATTGATAGTGTTGATCTCCAACACTCCCCTCAATCTGGGTGGTAGATGTCTATCATATCCAGATTGAATCTAATATTTTTATGTGTTCCTTAGAAGAGCCTTTGTCAGGATATATGTTGTTTGTCTGCATGATGGAACATGGTCAACACATATAATACCATGATCAATTTTTTCTTTAATGAAGTGTCGGTCAATTTTCACATGTTTTGTCCTATTATGGTGGATTGGGTTCTTTGTTATGCTTATAACAACTTCGTTGTCATACATTATCCTCATAGTGTAATTGATAAGAATTTTGATTTCATCTAACGTCCTCTTAAGTCAGATTCTTTCACAGATACCTTGAGTCATAGCTCTAAATTCAGCTTCTGCACTACTCCTTACCACCATAGGTTGCTTCTTACTTCTCCAAGTCACCAAGTTTCCCTGCACAAAGGAATAGTAACATGTAGTTGAGTTCTTGTCAAAGCGACATCCTGCCTAATCTGAGTCCGTATAGACTTCAATACCTAAGTTCGAATTCTTCTTGGAGTATTTTGTTTGCCATGTTCATGTTGGCCTCAGTTGGATTAGATGTATAGCGACTAGTCAGACAGTAAACCCAATGTCGGACCTGATATGAGTTAGGTAGATTAGCTTCACAACTTGTCTTTGATATCTATCTTTATTAGCTGGTGGACTTTCTTCTTCACCTCGCTTTTTTGGTTCTATGGGAGTATTGACTGCCTTGCACCCAAGCATGCCAGTTTCTTAAAACAAGTCCAGTGTATATTTCCTTTGTGATACATAAATACCATCCTTCGTCCGAGCAACTTCCATCCTTAGAAAGTATTTGAGTTGACCCAAGTCCTTAACTTCAAATTCCTTGGCTAAAAGTTCCTTCAAATGTTTGATTTTATCATAATCGTCTCCTGTGATAACGATATAATCAATATAAACAATGAACAAGGCTACCTTCACTTCTGCAGAGTGTTTGACAAACATCGTGTGATCTAATTGGCATTGGTTGAATCCATCTTCTTTGACAACCCGAGTCCAAGGTAGAGACTATGTTGACTCGTGAGAGCTTCGTAGACTCGACTCGTAGACTCGTAAGAGTTTACTTCATATGAAAAATTCTATATAATACCATACAAATTCAGAATTTCATCATCACAATTAATGAAAATAAAAAATAATAGTTCATTAATTCTAAAATAACTTGGTTCAACACACATGATTGTGATATAAGTTCAAATTACACCAAATACACAAGTTAATACAAATCACCAAAACATAAATAACTTCAACTTTCTAGCTCCAATCCTCTAATTATATCTTCTCCAACATCATCATCTTTTTCATCTTCTCCATCACCGTCAACCTCTTCCTTGGACGATAAGAGTGCATCATCAACATTGGCATCAAACACTATATTATCAAGATCAATTGGCTCTAAAGTAGGATCAACTGAACTTAGCTCAACTATGTCAACATTTTCCTCATCACCTTCACTTTGAACTGGCTCACTCCTAACATTATCACCATCTTCTGTTATCCATTCATCATCAGACTCAATATCATCAAATGGGAGAGCAACTGTTTTCCTATTTTGTTTATTTTTGAGCTTCAAGTTGTACACGACATAAACCAAGTCAATCATCTTTTTATGGTGCAAGTGGTTTCTTCTTTTTGTGTGGATCTATAAATAAATATGAATGTTTAAATACAAAAAATTAAAAACAAATAATAACTTAACAAATTTGACTTACTATTTCAAATGAGCTCCAATTATGCTCACACCCAGAAGAGCTACAAGTTAAGTTCAAAACTCGAATAGCAAATCACTTCAACTTTGGAGTTCCATCTCCAAACATCTCCTACCATTTTTCAGGAAGCATAACTTTCCTACAATCTTTTACATTTTCCATTGAGAAAAGTCCTTTTGCAAAATGAAATTCTAGAAATTGTAAATTATTTTTTTTCCTTTCTGCAACATCCTTGACCAATCTTTTCATGCAATATACAACCCTTCTTTTACCTCCACATCATCATTTCTAAAATTATGTTCATAGTGCATGTGAGGGTTAAGGTAATATGCAGCCGCATGCAAAGGTTTATGAAGCTGATTATTCCACCTCTCATCAATTATGTTCCAAACAGGTTCATAACTACAATGATGCTGTTAGAATTATTAGTGGTTAGTGGTTAGTAGTTGATGGTTGGTAGTTGGTAGTTGTTGTTTTAAATGCTATAATCCTATAACGAAATAAAACTGATTATATTATCATTAAATCTTATCATAATTGAATTATTCTAATTGATAGTACTGATCTCGAACATTTTGTGTACTTTCTTTCTGTTTCATTATTCAAATGTCTTCTGTCAGGTGCATTCTTGGATGCTATTGGTGGCATGGGTTTTGACTATGTTGCCTCTGGGCATTATGCAAATGTTATCCACCCATGTGCTGATGGGATCAATGAGCCTTCTGTTTTAGAACTATCACAAGACATGGTACTCATATGAGATATATACGTGTATGGTTACAGGATCTTGTTTGTGTTTGTCTATTATATTATAGGTGATATTTGCGTACTTTCATTTCAGTCTGTCAGAAGAATCTTCACTGTTTATGCTAGTATTAAATTTTGCACTTTCCGGTTTATTACGTGGGAAAATACTTTTACATACCGTGCTTTTGGAATTTTAGGTAAAAGATCAAACATACTTCCTTTCACACCTCTCACAATCCCAGCTGAAGCGACTTCTTTTTCCGCTTGGTTGTATTCCCAAGGTTTGTTGCAAATTCGTATCATTTACAATACTTAAATTGCGTTTAAATTTATCTGCAATTCAGCATCGTTATGATGTCTATCTTGAAAGTTCAGGCAGCAAGCATTCAGAATATATTTATTAAATTTGTGTCTTTAGTATTTGTTTTGGATTTAAATTTGGATGCTGTGCTGCAGTAGTCAATTGTACATGCCAATAATTTATCTTGTTTTCTGAGGTTTTTTTGCTTTTTTCCATGTGTATGATGGATGGCATGAGAATTCGGGCAGGAGATTTTCTGAAGATACTTATTATTTGGTTTTTTGAGTGCCCTTTATTGTAGGTTGATATTTGGATGCCCTTTTGTTTGAAGTAAATATCACGTTATCTTTTTCTGTAACACTACATGTTGTTTTGAAGAAATATTAATCTAACTTTCATCGCCTGCCACATCATCGGCAGGATGAAGTTCGCAGGCTTGCAACAAAATTTGATTTACCAAATAAGGACAGAAAGGATTCTCAAGGAATATGCTTTTTGGGCAAGGTATGTGGAGTATACAGCTCCCTTACATCATATCTATTTCATGGAGGTGAAAAGTATTTACTAATCACTTTTGAGCTTTTAGAGGTTCTAAAAGTGGAAGATTAAAACATAAATGAAATGGAACTTCTGGCCCATATATGTCAATGTCCATTATAAATTATGGTAAACCATTCTTTAATTTTCTATTTAAAACATGAATGATGTCATATATTGTTTAGAAGCAAGTCTAGAAGTTTGATTTCATGTTTCTGTCTCTGTTCACCTTTTGAGTTACAGATAAGATTCAGTGAATTTGTTGCAAGACATATTGGGGAAAGAGAAGGTATCATACTGGAGGCTGAGACAGGGGATTTCCTTGGCAAACATCGAGGATTCTGGTTTTATACTATTGGTCAACGTCAGGGTCTACGTCTACCTGGAGGTCCATGGTTTGTTATCTCCATATTTCTTTCTGACATTCGTTGTATTTTATCTGATAAGTTTCCAATCGTGTAATTATACAATTATTTGTATTGAAGATATACCCACATTGTAGGTGCAGAAACATGAGATTATTAATACGATCTGCATTGTACAATTTTTTTTTTATCATTACCTCGAATATTTCTCCACATTGAGTTATTTGCAAGTTTTCTTTTAGTGCAGTCCTATCCAGATGTCAAATTTGGGCTTGTGTACTAGAAAATAAAAAAGAAAATCATCCCATTATTTTTTCTTGTGCAGGTATGTTGTTGAGAAGGATGTTAAAAACAATGTAGTTTTTGTGTCAAGAAATTACTTTTCCTTTGACAAAAGGAGGCGTGTATTCCGTGTTGGCTCTTTTAAATGGCTTAGTGGGTTGCCCCCAGGCCAGACAAGTCATCTCCAATGCAAGGTGGATTACTCAAATATCAATTTCTCTTTCCTGTTTATTTAAAACATTTTCTATTTTTGTAGTACTCAAGAGTTATGGTATCTTGCTCTTTTCAGGTGAGACACGGTCCTGGATTCTATGATTGTAGCTTAAAAATGAAAGTGGAAGGAGATGGCCAAGGTTACTCTGCTGTTGTCCGCATATCTGAAGATGATCAAGGCCTTGCAGCTGGGCAGTTTGCAGCTTTTTATGAGGGAAGAACATGCATAGGTTCTGGTGTGATTTTGGAGTTCTGGGATGATCAGAGTTTTCCAGTTTGTGCAAAAGCTTTAGAAATTGCTAGAATGGAAGATAAATCAATGCTTGGGAATCCAGTAAAAATAAAAGTTAAACCAGATAACCCGCAAGAAGTGTGTGATTCTGCAGAATTAGCAAGTGAAACATCATAAGGGAATAAGAAATTCTTGAGTTGTTGACGCTGAAAAACAGATAGGCATGTCAGAGGAGTGCAACTTCCATATTTGCTTTCAATTGGCTATAAAAGTTACTGCCAAACGTTACTTGTAGATTTTCTGAGATCTAGTTCTGTAACGTTTTTATATACATGTTCAGGGAGTATTTTTTGTCCGGATGGATGGCTATTTTAAGTTGAAATACAAAGGCAAGGATTTGTAGCTTCCACTAATTGACGTTTTGAACTAAATGTGTATATATACCTTCAAGTGGTTCGTTGGTACTTTTTGACAATGTACCTTCCCATGTTTTGAATCAAACTAGTAGTAAATTTTGGAATTTAATCAAGGAAAAAATAATGGAACCACGGGTAAAGCAAACGTGCGTAGGATGACTTGATAGTATGTCTGGGTTTAACTTACTGCATTTGATAAAAGTTTTGGTCTATCTTCTTTTAATTTAAAATGTATATTCCAGAATGTAATTTAAAAATATTCATTCTGGAATAAATGGGATGAGTAAAAAATCTTTGAAAGTTTTAGAAAATTCATATGGTCATATATATATAGTATGATTAGTTTTGGAAATTCATGGATATGATTTATATTTGTGGTTAACATAACTAAATTATTTTAATTATGACATGTTGTAGTTAGTTTTAAACCAATTTTGGTTAGACAGATGTGAATATCACTTTTAACCCCAATTATATTACAGAACCACCCTTGTTGATTTCAATTACTTTGTTTTTAACTATGTGCAACTTCATATTTCCACTTATTAGTTCACACGTGAGTAATTGTAGAGGAAATAACTAGGACCAGGCATAAAAAACAAATGTTGTGCAGTTTCATATTATTCATGTGATTAAGATATCACAACAACTACACATTTCTCTTGATGAGTTGGACCTTTCAGTAGACATAAAGTTGTTCAGGATTACATTGTGAATCTTGAATAAAACTAAAAGTATAATAGATTGACAAAAATGTATTTGACAATTTCTAAATCATTCCACCCCCTCAAAACAATAATTTTTTAGCGTTTAAGTATGCTGAATGGAATGCCTGCATAGTTGCTTCATATTATTTATTAATCTTTTCTTAGTGTCATGTTGTGATCAGCAATTGTTATTAAGTTGTCGTTACTATATCAGATTTGAACCACTTCCAATATCAGCTATCTCAGGAACTCGGACTGGAGAGCTTCTTGACCTTGTTTGTTCTGGCTTAGAGAAAGTTGAGGTTTGTTTTTATAAATGTTGCATTTTCTTCTGTATATATCATTTACAATTGGTAAATTTAGGTGTTATTTTCTACTTTATGCTGCAAGCAAGTTGATTTGATTATACTTTGCATCACCAACTGATAACAAGTAATTAGATTCAGGTGGTATTATTCTTTATTAGTATACAATTTGGGATCAACTTGTTATTATTCTTATTTTGAGACCCCTTAATTTTCCAATTTATAATTTACTTTATGCTAAACTATAGGAATCAAATATTCTTGATGAAGAAGAGAATGTTCCGGCAATTTCAATTGTTGGTATGGTAGACCAAATGTTCGCAAAAGTAGCATTTTGAATGCACTGGTTGGTGAGGACAGAACAATAGTTAGTCCCATCAGTGGCACTACTCGTGATGCTATTGATACTGAATTTACTGGACCAGATGGACAGGTGTGATTCTTTTGGTGACTAGCTACTAACCCCTTGTTGTGTGCGTGTAGCACCACAAAAAAAATCAATTCTTAATTCAATCGTTTTATTACTTTTTGTAAGAATGAAAATTTGAAAATGATTAGTTTACAAGGCTTTCCCACCCCCAACTTTGTTAGGCTGTATATTTTTTGGACCATACCAGGCTGTCATATTAATTTGGTAATCTTTTATAATTTTAAGAAAGCACAGTAATTATTTTCTTAGTCTCTTTCCCTAGAAGTTCCAACTTATTGACACTGCAAGAATTAGGAAAAGAACAGCCATAGCTCCAGCTGAACGGAGGCTTTGTCAGTGAATCGAGCATTTCGGGCTATTCGTCGTTCTGATGTTGTTGCTCTTGTTATTGAGGCCATGGCTTGTATAACAGAACAGGTTCCGGATTAATGCTTTTGTTTGTTACAAGAAAATGATATTGGTTTTCTTCTGGTTATAATAAAGTAACACTGCAGGCCTGGAGGCACATGGGATCACTAGTTGTAGTATACATTTCCTCTCCTTAAACGATTTTATTGTCTTTTGAAGGACTACAAGATCGCTGAAAGGATAGAAAAGGAAGGAAAAGGTTGTGTGCGATAGTTGTAAACAAGTGGGATACAACACCAAATAAAAAGCAGCAGACTGCATCACACTATGAGGAAGACGTCAGGGAGAAGCTTCGCACGCTTGACTGGGCTCCAATTGTTTATTCTACTGCTATAGCTGGTCATAATGTTGACAAGTATGTTTTATTTGAAAAATGATTGATTTATGCTGTATAGCATGCTAATTCCATGATTTGAATTCCTCCAACTTTCCTTTTAAAACAGGTTCTTATAATTCATGGGCATTTGCATTTATGAATAAATATCAACTTGTATCTCTCATGGTGGATGAGGTCAAGCTTTATATATTTTGTTGAACTAATCTGTTGCAATGCAGGGCTCACGGTAGACCTCAGGTAGTGGTCACATTATTGGCTGCGATGGCTCTGTACAATTTTGTATCTAATGGTTTTTTCTTGATGTGTGGTGAAGGAAGTCCTGGTCATTTCTTGAGTTTCAGCAATAGAAATGGACTTGAGAATCTGTCTCTTTTCAGAATCACTTTTATTTGGATATGGATTAAGCCTTGTTTTTCTAGATGTATCATACAATTTGTTGCAGATAATTTTAGTGGTGAATAACTTTTCTTGGATGTAGACATTAACACGATATATAGTGAGCACTTTGCACTTTGTGGGATGGGTGCCGAGAGTTTGGGTAAGGATCTGTCGTATTTATACAGTGATCATAATCATTCTGTAATTCTTTGGTGAGCACTTTGTACTTATGGGGTCGTAGCACAATCTGTCAACAACTGCACTGTACATTGTTTTTGAAGTAGTTGTTAAAGCAAAAGTAAGTTCTTGGATTTCGAATTCCGTGACTCTTTATTCAAATGTTTAAGCAGAGCATTTTTCACTGATCAAGTGTGCAGTTACTCTCTGGAATGATACTTGTTTTATTGCTAAGCTATTGCTAGTAACTTTAGTCGTGGTTAGATGTATATAGGCTTAACATAAACTCTGAAGTTTTGTTTCAAACCGTTAGTTACTAGTAACATTGAATTTTAATAATTTTTATTATCTTTAAAAATGATTAGCTTTGTACGATTTGAGTGTTTAAGTTCGTTTACCTCACTTTTACCAACCCTATCCATTTCACATTTTCACGGGGCCGTGCTTACGACTGTTAAAAGCTTTGAAAGTATTATTATTTGTATGTTCAGTCTCTTCGTGGCAGTTTCAGGTTGTTGGATTAATTCCAACATGTCATGTTTACGGACATTTATTTAAAATTAAATAATTTATTATATTTCATCAATATTCCATTTTTTATATATTTCTTTTATTATTATAGTTTTCTCTCATTTATATTTTATCTTCTTCTTCTTTTTTTCGTTTCTCTCTTCTAAAATATTTTTTTACAACTAATCTAAAATTAAAAAAATATTTTTTAAATTATATTTTAAAAATTTAAAATATATTTTAAATAATAATATAATTTAATAAAAATTAAAATATCTTTAAAGTTATAAATAATATCAACGTTGACCTAATAATTTATTGATTAATTTAAAAAATAATTGATTATGTAAACATTGACCTAATAGTTTAATATAAAAAATTAAATTTAATTATTTATTAAAAATATTTACAATATGTGTCATAAAAGAAAGTAAATTATTTAATTAAATAAATAAATAATTTATAATTTTAAAATATTTATCTTAATTTAAAATATATTAAAGAATTTATTTTATTTTAAATATACAATTTATTTATATATAAATTAAATTAAAATTATTATTTAATATAAACTCGGGAAAATATTTTAAATTATTTTGAAGTATAATTTTTCAAAAAAAAAATTCTACTTTTGGATTATTTTTGAGGAATTAATTGTCCAGAGAAAAAATTGAAGAGAAAGAATAAAATATAAGTAAAGTGAAAAAAAAAAAACTTAATGAATTATGATATTTTGAATGAATGAATATATAAATATAACATGTTAGTATTGAGGAAGAACACTTAATGAGGTCCTAATGTTATCAAACTCATATCAGTGAAGAAAAATTTGTATTAGATGTAGATATAAATATATGATATTTATATTTATGGATATTTTTATTTATAATATTTTTATTTATTAATTTTAAAATTAAGTTATCCAAATAAAATTATTAATAATAAAAACATTAACCATAAAAGAATAATTTTGAATTTAAATTTATAAATTCTAATTTTTATTTAGATTTATAAAAATAAATTTATTTTTAAAGAAATTAATTTTATTTAAATATATATTTAGTATTATAACTTATTTAAATTTATATTTTAGAAATATTAATTTTTTATATTAATTTAATGATATAATTTTATTTAAATTATATTTTAAATAAAAATTTATTTAAGTTTGTATTTAAAAAAAAATTATAAATTTTTCAAGTGGATATAAGTGATATTAAAGATGATATAATGACCTACATCTATTGTTTCCTTGCCATTTCACCTCTAATTAATAGGTTAAATGAATAGTTTTAGTTCTTCATTCCTTGTCTATTCTAATTCACCAATGTTCTTAGTTAAGAAAAAGATGAAGTAGAGTGACCTACTTTTGAAAAATATTTATATATTAAAATTAAAATAAAACATTTATAAATTAAAATATTATATTTTTTGTGTTATATGGTTGGAACATACAAATATATTATATATTTTAATTAAAATTATAAATATTAATAAATTAAACTTAAACTATTGATTATTTTTTAATATTTTAATACATAAATATAATAATTTTTTCAATTTAACTCATAAAATTAATTAGTAAAGATTTTAAAATTATTTATATAATTAAAAGTATATAATTTTAAAAAAATATATATAAATTTTTATATATAAAAAAAATTTGACAGGTTAACCCATACTCCACATTTTAGTAGATAGGATCTTGTCACTCATTCTAATTATACACTAAACTAGTTCATCTCACTATGCTAACAAAGATGAGTACAAGAAAAAAAAAAAAAATATATATATATATATATATATATATATATATATAATATTTATGTATATACTTCATATTAACTTAATCACTTATATTCAAAGTCAATATAAAAGTGAACTTAAGAAGAAAATAAAGGATATTATAAAAGTATCCTTATTTAAATATTAAATATATAATATAAATAAAATGTTATTCTTCCACGATTTTTCATGTTAAATTCTTTTTCTTTTTATGTAAGATATTTTAGGAGCTCAAGGATAAACAAATATAAAAAAATTAGTTTTAGATAATAACAAAATAAGATAATTTTTATTCTCTTCTTAAAAAAAATATTAGACCACTGGCAGTGGAATTTTCATGGTCAATTGTGTTTTATATTTCACAATTTCATCATTTTTATTTCTCTTTTTCATAAAGAGTTAACTGTATTCAATTAATTTAATACCTTCGGAATATAAATCCAAAATTATTTAAGTTATCAAGAGAGTCTAATTATCTTTTATTTAATCTTTCCATTTTTGTAATCATTTATTTGTCTGACCATTTTTATGAACTTTGGTTTATGATCCTTAACATCATTTAGTACTATACTATAAGAAGAAAGTTATTTATCAATATTTATTTCACTTTGATTTCATATTATTTCACTCATAGCATAATTAATTGAGATCTCTCAATTTTATAGTAATTTAAGGTATTTGAGTTTGGAACTAATATATATTAATTATATTAAATGAACTTTTTAGGATTTTGATCTTTAATTGGTTTATCTTGTCTTTTCTTATTCAATTATTCTTAATTTTTGAACTATTGAGTTACCACACTTATGTCATATTTGATACTCACTCACTTGAAGTAGTAGAATACTCAACACAAATATTAAAGCATTAACAGTTAGTACATATAACTTAGTCAATATATTTTGGGTCAACAAATAAATGATATTTGATTGACTAAGTTTTGTAAGTGAATTATCTTTCTAATATCTAGTTCACGTTATTTTATAAGAATCAACGTGATATCATAATAATTCATTCTAACTAATATATTTGTTCACCTGTATATTTTTCTCCTAATGTTGAAAAACTTACTTATCAAACTCACAATGGGCAAAATACCTTATTGTTAATGAAATTCATATTCAACATATATTCTCAAATTTATATGATAAACCATTGAAATTCACGTTGGGGTTAAATTAGAACCATTATTTTGAAAATCGGACTGATCGGTTCAACCGATCTAACCGCGAACCGGAGTAGAAACCAATTTGATATTTCCAAATAACCAAATTTTAATTAAAACAAGACAAAATTAGAAAAATCGGGACAAAATCAATAAAACTAAGAAAATTGACTGAATTTTTTGGTCGAACCAATATTAATAACAAGAAATATTTAGGATCAATTTTTTTTAATATAATTTTTCTATAAAAGATAATATATATTTTAGTTTTTTCTTTTTTATTTATCTTAAATTAGTTATATCAACTTTAAATAATAATCATGTTGTTTTATTTTTATCTTATTTTAATAATTATTCATTTTACAATCTCTCATATATTTTATATTTGTAATATTCATTGTAACTTACATTGAACATGATAGTAATCTTTATTTTTATTATTTTTTTTGTATAAATACATTATTATTAATGAACTTATTATATTATAAAAAATTATTTTATTAAATTTGGTTAGACCTCGATTGAACTTTTAAACACTGACCATATCTTCACTGGTTCAGTAGCTAGTTCAATTTTAAAGACATTTATTAGAACACAACCATCCAATGGAAAATATTTTATTAATAACCCAAAATCAATTATAAAAATAGAGTATTTGACATATTGATTTGATATAAATTTATAGTACAATATGTATAATTACATAATCATAAGTAATGATTGGAATATTCAATGAGTAATGATTTTATAATCAACTTTAAACGTTTTAAATAACTTTGTAAAGTTTATTTTGTGTATGAACATAAACTACAATATATTCAATATCAATTTCAAATAACACAATACTCATTAAAAGAATGACGCGTTCCATTATCATTATGTAAGAAAAATTTCTTAATTTAAAAATGAGAACTTATCAAATTAATTAAATTTAACTAACAACTTAACAAACATATGGTTGTGAATAGATAAAACAAATATATGAATACATCAATTAAAATCATAAAATATATAAATGATTCTAGTGGTTGTATTTACAAATATCACCTTAATCAATTCAAAAAATAAAATGAATTTATTCCTTCCTTTTCAACTATCCGATGATGATATTTTTACTAACTTTCTTTGCAAATACATAGTACATAAACAATCATTGAACTTAATAAACTTTTGGTTCATAGGTGAATGTACAAATGAATTTATAGACATTTTTTTACCTCATAAGCTTGGATTGATCAAACACTCATGTTAAATAACAAATATATTTTGATAAATAAACTTCTGATTTACCGTGGTATGTGTTTCAATTGTATTAATACATGTATAGTATAAATTATAAAAGTTTAATAATTTAAATATTTTTTTTATTAATAATATTTATATGTATGGATTGATCTCAAAACATATTTTTATTAGATATAAAATAAATAT